TATATATATATATATATATATATATATATATATATATATATATATATATATATATATATATATATATATATATATATATATATATATATATATATATATATATATATATATATATACCATTATTGTCACTGCAATAAATTATAATTCTTGTACGCCAATTCTTTTATTATCTTCGAGAATAGTCATTTGTATAAGGGTTATGCATAGTTTTAACGGCATCATTTATTCGGCATTCTGCATTATGATATCTTCTTAATTACTGTTGCAGATTATTTCTGTGGGGAGTTATACAGAATGAAGTTTTACTGGCACAAAAACAATGGTAAAATTATGATTACTGGGGACTTCATGTTGGACGAAATTTTCTTGCCGCTTTTGCAATTGCCAGCTTTTTCTTGTCTTCGGCAAATTTCCGTCTCAATTCTTCAAGATCTAAAAAAAAAGTGCGGAGGAATTAAGTGCCTTATTTTCCAAAATGACAATGCTATTTCCTATACCAGCCTCTTTAATTCTTAAGAATTTCGTTTAAAAATTGGTATCCTAATTTTCAAAGTTCCCTTTTTTTCCCCTTGCAACTTCTGTGGAACAACAGAAGCAATGCTTCATCTTTCGTTTAGAAATGCACGGTTTATGGAAAAAAAAGAAAAGAAACTTACGTTTCAATTTTGACTGTTTCAATTGGAATGAATAGAAAGCAATGCTTTCTTCCTGAAATTCAAATTTATTCATCTTCGACAACATGGGATTATTGTTTAGTTTAATTGGAATTAAGTGCGAAAAATTTTCCCTCTTCATCAATTTACAGCGACAAATAGGACGATCAATAAACTGTTAGCTTTATCAGAAATTGGCAATTTTTTCCAACAAAACATTAAACGAACCACGCGCTTTTTCTTCTTTGACAATTTCAGCAAATCCTCCTTGTTCTTCACAACAATAGCGCGCGGTACAGGCTTATAATCTGAAAGTCATTTTAATAAACTTAATAAGCTATTTAAACTGAATTTCAACCACTGAATTTTGACCAAATAAAAAATCTGGGAATTCTTTCCGCAAAAAGTGACAAGTAATATACGCGATTTTGTAACAGTTATCCATCCATCCTTGTCCGGTACATTAGCCATCCTTTTCGCCTTTCGTTTTTCCTAAAACATCATAAATGAAACGGATATTCTTAAACATATTTCCTAAATTAATAACAAATAAAAAACTGTTTACATCAGAAAACAACTCTACGTGAATGTTCAATTTCGTGCAAAGACAGAAGATGTCATACTTCCAGGATCTCAGTATCATGCTTTTCGATGTACGAATCTACGCTTTCCTGTAATTGTGCTACCGTCTTGAAGGATTTGCGATATTCATCACACGACTCTACAAACAAACAATTATTCAATTAATCCATAATTCTATATCCCATTTAATCTCGCAACTATCGTTTTAGTTTTCACAGTTTTACACGTTAATGTTTTGGTTGTTTCTGTGAACATAAAGAAGCTCGTATAATATCATCTGTGAATTATAAGATAACATATGAAATATAAAGTAAAGGCTGGTGTTAAACAGTAACTCAAAAACCTCAAAATTGTATGAAACTAAAATAATGCAAAGTTTGGCAAGTAAAAGGAATATAAAGTTTCACAAGTAGAAGGTTGAAATTACTTGCTGCTCCATTATGTGTCAGTTCAACATCGATTTTGCTCAAACAGAGAAATGGAATCTTTTCACAATTCTGTAATGCTTGCTCAATAGCATCTTCCGTTTTAAAGTGTGCAGATGCTGTGTAAAAACCCTGAAAAAAAAAAACGTAAGAAATATCAAAAAGAGAGAAATTTATGCTAAAAAAAAGCATGAAATTCATACACACATACTTCCGTAATTTTATCACCGGTTGCTGTTCCACGTTGTGCGATTATTTCATCCGGTCTACCAGAACCAAGTTCAGCCAAAATCCGTCCCAATGTAACCTATAATTTTATCTTTTTCAAAAGACTTTTTCCTTACCCTTAATTCTTCCAGTATTATTGTAGTACCAAAAAAATTTCAGTTTCAAGTTAAGGAAAATCTTTACACTTACTGGAGTGATATATGGAGGTATATTGGCAACAATTAACGAACACTGATTTGTTGGATCTTTCTTTAAAAATAGATGCCTTTCCGAATTGAATTTTTCACTGATTCCATATCGCAATGCTACAAAAAGTACAGTAAACTTTTGCAACAAGCATCAACGAATGCTTAATTTCAATGAAATTGATAGAGTATAAATCCATTCATCTTCAAAACAAAATATATTCAGGTATTTTTTTTTAAAGATATTTTATTGAACTCACTTTAAATGGCATGGAAAAAGAACAAAAAAAAGAAAAAAAAATTCTGAAAAAGTTTCAGAAACATCAAATGTACTTTAGTATAATGAGAAATAAAGTTAAATTGCTTTAATGTAATGAGAAAATTTATGGTAATTTTATTCATATTTACAATTACGAAGGATAAACAGAAGAATGTCAAATGTCAGAAATTATCAAATAATAATCTAATAGTTAATGTTAATTTTAATCTGATGATAAAAAAGGCTTATCGTAACATCTACTATGAAACTTAAAACAATTAGATACGACCAGTGATATTTTGAGACGTCTAAAATTTACAGTGATTATTTGCATATTTCATTATTTGCAATTTCATTTGATAGATGATGATGATCACACTTCTTCCCTTACATATTTCAGTTTATTTTACTTTTATTAAACTTTTATTTTTTTTCATTTAAGAATGAATAAATGCCGAGTCATACTTAATTTTGCTGTAAAGTTTTGTCCGATGATCAGATAGTATCTTTACTTAACTTACTTTTCACTACGAAATTTTGAATATTACGAGTCCATATTACTTTGATTTATTCAGCACTATGAGAGATTGCTCAGATATCATATCTTTAACCCTAACTTTTCACTTCAAAAATATATTTATTCATGCAAAAGTAAACCATAACAATAAAAATAAACCAACTAACTTCGCAGAGAGTTATTATAATCGATGCTGAGCAAAATTTGCATGTTGTCATTGGCATTGGAACTTGTTGATGGAACTACATTCTTCTCCTTTGTTGATACTTTTCCGGGAATTTCCACTTTTCGGATTTTCTTCTCCTTACTTTTCTTTCCTTTCTTCCGCAGTGTTCCCGTTTTTTCTTGCTTTTTACTTATCGCAACCATAACTGCTTGAAAAAAATGACTGAAATTTTTGAAACTATTTGAAAAGAGAAATTTGACAATGGGAACTACTGACATGTCACATTACAAATCACAGCTAACAATGATATTCAGTAAAGAATACTAACATTCACACCATCAGTAATCACAACATTAGCTGATAATGATGATAATGACGATTGACAATAGCTGATGGAAGGTTACGTGGAAGTCAATTAGATGAGTGTTACGTAAATGTCATTACAGTCATTACATATATGCTACATTACATACGTGAAAGTCATTAAATACGCGTTATGTGGACTTCATTAGATGCGTGTTACGTGAGAATTATTAAATACGCGTTATGTAGACATCATTAGATGCATGTTATGTGAGAGTTATCATATACGCGTTATGTGGACATCATTAGATGCGTGTTACGTGAGAGTTACTAAATACGCGTTATGTAGACTTCATTAGATGCGTGTTACGTGAGAGTTATCACACGTGTATTACATAGAACAGTCGTTGTGAAATGGAGAAAGGCATTACGGCCGTACAATGCGAAGGAAAAAGATGAAATGATTTTTGAGGTCCAAATTAGACGGTGTTTGCAATTCGCCACCATGCCTAATGGAAATTTGGTTAGGCCAGGCCAGGATACTGCTGAGATGTGACACATTTGACGCATTTTTATTGATTATTTTGGGATGGCTTTTCCGAATTTAATCTTATTGAATGTTTAATATGGATATCGTAATCTCTTAAATTTATTAGCACATTGTCATTATTCATATATTTTCGAAGTTTTTTCCTCAGTTGAATGATCTTATACGAATTTCGTTAGTTTATTTCACAGTTAAATTTCTTTTTTTAAAAAAAAGAAAATGAAATTTAGGATTCGATAATTTCTCAGGAATTAAGCAACAATGATCTCTCATATCAACAGTGAAGATAAATTTGAAACGGTGCTTAAATCACGATACTGTAGCAAGAGTCCGTTAATGAATATATTGAGCGAGCGAAATAAGGTAAATTTGTAATTTTTAAATTATCTGCTTTTTTAATGCTTGATAATTACAAGCGTCATGTAGTTAAATTTAATCTGACGAATTCGAAGTTGATTAAATTAATGAGTTTGAAATTTATTTTCTTTAAGTGGTTAACTTGAAGAAAGCTTTCACTTGTTCGTAACGCCTTTTCTATTTCCAACATTCTTACATAAAATATGATTTTCAGTAAAAAAAATTCTTCAATTTATCTTAAGGTACTGATATGGCGACAAATGTGGATTTGGCTTGCGGAAGCGGAAATGCAACTCGGTCTAAAACAGGTATGTTTTTTTTTCGCATGGGATTGATTATTTGCGAAATAAATAAATATAATTACTTTCCAAACATGATATGGATATCAACTGCTTAAATTTTCTCTTAAGAAACCGTTTTTATCATTTGAATTTTTGGTTTGATACTGGTTATTGATTGCTAAATAAATATGATACAATTAATATTTGCAGAAATAACTGTATCATTATATAAGGTTTCCAGGTTATATATGTGGTGTTAAGTGAAAAAGGATGGTTCCTGATATAATCAACTCGAATGTCGTGATATATTCTTAGTATAACGGAGAACTTGAATCAATATTTCCCTTAATTACATTCATCTCTTAGTTATAGGTTACTGAAGAGGCAATTGAAGAAATGAAGAAATCGAAGGAAGTGATTGATTGGGGAACAATACGACGAGAGGAGAAACGTGTCAAGCATGATGTCATGGCCCATAATTATGCATTTGGGAAAGTAAAAATTTTTATGTAGAAAATTCAACAAGAATTATGTAAAAATGTAGCATAATATTAATGCTATCTATAACCGCTAAATTTTTTTTTTTTCAGATGTGTCCCAAGGCAAAAGGGATAATACATTTGGGGGCAACATCATGCTTCGTCCAAGATAACGCCGATTTAATTGTTCAGCGGCAAGCTACTGATTATATACTGAAGAAGTATGTTTTCTTCAGAATTTCGATTTAGCCTTAATCAAAATATTTTGTTATATTAAGCTTCATTTTAGCTTAAATTTAAAAATATCTCGAATATGTCTTATCTTTTTTAATCACACGTTGGAATTGGTGTCCTCTTTGTTTTGCGTATATTTTTCTAATTTTGACCAACATGTCAGACTATGCTGTGCGGATGCATTAAACAATTTCAAGTTCACAGTGTAAATTGGTTAGGAAAATAATGAGATTTGTAGGCTTGCAGTGTGTCTCAGCCGTCTAGATGATTTCGCCGATAAAACGAAAGATATTGTTACCGTTGGACGGACGCATTACCAAACAGCATCACTAGTAACTGTTGGTAAACGTGCTGCGATGTGGGCTCAGGAATTGTTGATGGTTTTCAAAAAGGTAGATTAAATATATCGTTTCACTATTATCGTTTATGTATCCTGAAACAGCAGTTTTCCCTTGTTTATTATAAACCTACATTTCGATTGGAAAAGGTTTCAATTCTTCAATATTCTTAATATATCATATTTTATTGTATTTTGAATTTATATCCTTCGGAATTGATTTTCATGGTTTATAGCATTTCTATTTATATCTTTATGAACTAATCAAAAATACGTTTCATTCAGATACATGCATTCCCTATGCGTATTTCACACATAATAATGACAGGAACATTGCTACGTTTACACCCGATTTTTACAAATATATTGCGAATAAGAAGTGCTATTATATTGTGCTTTTTCTTATCCCTTTTCCTACTTTTCTGTAGTATTATTAGTGGTAAACTTTAATTTATTTATGATTAATTACAGTTGGAATATTTCCGGGAAAATATGCGTTTTCGTGGAGTAAAAGGTGCAACAGGAACACAAGATTCATTTATGGCATTGTTTCATAACGATGAAGCGAAGGTAATTTTATTTTTATTGTTGGTTTTCGATGCTTACCAAGTGAACGGTTGTCAGTTGCCATACGTGATAACAATTGTTGTTCATTCACTAGCTAAATCCAGTGCTTTTATACATTCCAAAAAAGTGAAGAATGGTTTGTTATAAAATAAAAAAATGGTTTGTTTTTAAATAATTTTTGTTTCCCTCGCCATTCTATGCTATTTCCTCCTTTTCTGTTGATCTATAAAAAGCAATTTTGAGGTAGATAAATTGGATGAATTAATAATGAGAAGTGCTGGTTTTGCGTATCGTTTCTATATCAGTGGCCAGACATATTCTCGACAGCAGGTATTTTTATCGGAATAACTGAAGTAACGCTTCTATTTAATTAAAGAATGAATAAACAGTTGGTGTAACACTACAACGCTAGAATAAGTGATTGTAATCTTTAAAGAGATTGAGATGTTTTATATAAATTTTGTCCTTTTTAATGGTTAACTTAGCAATTTCCCTTTTACTTAGCAAGTTTGCTTAGCAATTTCTCTTTTACTATGGGTAAGGAAAGTATGTGAAATGGTCTCTTAGGGCATATAAAAAGCGGAATATGAAGTCTCAGCCATAGTTTCCATCAATATCGTCAACAGATCAATATCGTCAACAATTACAAAAAAAAATTTCCATTCTAGGATTGTGATCTTGTCAATATTTTTGCAGTACTGGGAGCTGCAACGAAAAAAATTTGCACAGATATACGAATATTACAGGTCTACTTTTGTTATTAATAGATTTTAATCTGTCGACTTATTTTAAATTTAATCTTTTTTATGGTTTCAAATAAGTCTACGTTAAATTTAATGGTTTAGCTGTAGAAATGATATGCTTTTTATTGCCTAATTATTAAATTCGAATTGATTTTAGGCTTTTGGTGAAGTATTTGAGCCATTTGAAAGTGAACAGATTGGCAGTTCTGCAATGCCTTACAAACGTAATCCAATCAAAAGTGAGCGTGTCAGTAGCTTGGCTCGAAAGCTGATGAGTGCACCTCAGGTATGTAAATTTTAATCTTCCATTTATCGGGATCAGGATAAACCAGCACCAGCGTAATGTGAATTCCCAAAAGATGAATTACCACATGCTTGGCAGAGGCTTTGAAATCTTTTTTGAAGTCCAAATGCGCTTAACATCTATTACCTTCTATGATTGATGGTCAGAAATCTGATCTTGCAATGAACGGGTTTTCAGTGCAGATTCTATAATATATTAGGTTTGCTCTTCGGTTACACAGTTCCAAGTCCAGAAATTCATGGCCAGTTTTGTTTAAGACTGTTTGATTTAATTTCTTTGTGATTTAATTTCTTCTTCTGCAGGATGCGTTGCACACACTTGGTGATCAATGTCTTGAGAGAACCCTCGATGATTCCGCCATTAGACGTATATTGATCCCAGATATGTTTCTTCTTGCTGATGCGATTCTCACCATATTTCAAGTAAATAAACATAATTTCTTATTTTATCCTTAACTTTATTGATGTTAAGTTTCTCTGCAACTATGTTCCCATTATTTGAAATCTGAATGATTTTTTCTTTTCGAAATAACCATCAATATGATGTTGGATTGATTGACAAAGGATATGACACTGGACTAAAAAGCAAATGGCAATAAATTACACATAAGTTGAAGTTTACTATTTATTTGAAACTAATCAGATTAATTCTCGCATCTTTGCAGCACATTGTGGAGGGATTGACCGTGGATAAAGAAAGAATTGAATATAATGTCCATGCGAATTTGCCATTTTTGGCACTGGAAAAGGCAATGATGTTACTAACAGAGGAAGGCGCTGATCGACAGGAAGCATATGAGAAAATTCGGGAAGTAACACTGGCTGCGAAAGAGGCACAGAAGCGGGAACGGGTTGATTTGGAAAGCGTTCTGGCTAATGTCTTTTTTGACAAGGTATCAGAAATATTTTGACCTTTATGGTATTCAACAATTGTCACAAATTCATTATCCTAATAGTTGGTGAGAAGCAGGAGTCCGAGATTGTTAAACAATGCTTCTTTCTATGTTTAATCTGTAATGTATCTGAAAATCTGGCTTTGGATCTTTAACAATACGTAAAGCAGAAATCAGATGCCAGTACACTTTTTAACGCTTCAAGTCTGTAAGTCTTATGTCGTATCAACGCTAATCGCTTTTTTTAATTTTTTGTTGGCGTAGAAATTAATGTAACAGTCGAAGATAATGGAAGAAAATAGGATTTATGACAGTCACCGTAAAGTTTCCTTTTAGCACCATTAAAAGGCGGGAAATTGGAATCTGATATGGATAGAAACTTCTAATTTTAGATTCGTAACCGAATACTCGAACTGGCAAAATCACCGCTATGCTTCACAGGACGTTCATCTTCGCAAACTATACATTTTTTGAATGAGGAATTACGTCCAACTATAACGAAGTATTTGGACGATGACATGAAAGCGAAAGTACAGCTGGACGTCTGAAGATGTGGTAAAGATTTTTCAACACAGTAAGGCTCAGTACTGTGCTTAATTGTCATACGATTTTTTTCCAGTGAAACTTTCTCTTTTACTATCCAGAATCAAATAGCACTTTAGTCACCTAATTGATAGATGAATTGTAACCACAATGATAATATTATTAGTGTGGTACTTTTCGTTTGGTGGAAGTCTTTTGCATCTTGGTTCTAACCACTTTTTAGCCATACTGGTTATTTTCAGTGCACTTTTGATTTTTGTATTGGTTTTTAATCTGTCAATATTGATCAAAATTTGAAAATGGTATCATTGAACAAAGTCTTCTGCTATGTGGTGTGTGCTTTCCGATTATTATAAGTATGGAATTTTAAAATTATCATAAAACGAGCATAATGAACTGTTGAAACGAACAGTTCCAGAATCCTGTTCAGTTGCAATCCTGCATATAGAGGGCAATAATTCCATCTAACTAAAGATTTATAAATTGATGCGGAAGGTCTTTGGTCGTGCTGATTTTGAAGAATTCTAGAATCACTATGAATTTCTCATAAAAATTTCTATGTTTTTTTTTCAATGAAACACAGACTCTCAATGAAAAGTTATCTTAGATATTTTCTGATGCTGCTGATTTACCATTATTCGGGAAGCACTGAAACTCCTACAAGTAATTCCAGAATTTTTCAAAAACGAAAAAAAAACCTCTTAAATCATTCTGTTTTTGAAGTTAATTTTCTCAATAGAAAATTATCTTAGACATTTATGAATTTCTGTCATTCGATTAAATTCTCTCATCTATTGTATTCCCGATATAAGAATACTTTGCAATATCCTTTTTATTCTTTTATTTATTCGTATTTTTTAGCAGTGGTAGATTTACTGTGATTGTTCGTTCCCGAGGAAAATAGAGTTTTCTCATGCTACTAAACTGTCTTTGAAATTTGTAGTAATTTTAGAATTTATAGCTTTTAGTGAATTGAAATAAATACGTTTGAAAGCGATTGTATTTTCACCGGCACTGGTTATTCAGCAATCAAGCTTCTTTTGATTTTGCTACACAAATATACCTGCATTTGTCCAACAAAACTTGATGTAGATCGGAGATGATTTCACGCAATCTCTGTTCGATTCCGAAACCATAAAACCATATCTCGCTGTAAAATATTCTAATTAATGAAAAGCAGGCTAATTTCATTGCTAATCACTTTCAATTTGGAAAACAGATGATTGTGGTTTTTTCAAAGAATAAAAGATAATACAATTTTATTTCTTTTTTTTTTTTTTTGCTTAGCGTTAGCTGTGATATACTTGTACTCATAAAACAAGGAACTAACAATTTTTTCTCTTCTCTTTGTCATCGGTAGGTGACGACACATTGAAAAATAATTTCTAACTCTTTCTTTCATAGCGACAGGTTCCTGTGCGAAAAGTTCCATTGATCGTTTTACTTTTGCACGCTAGAAAGGTATCACATTAACTAGTTTAGCGAGTATAATTGGAATAATTTTGTCGGATGAAATCTTAACAATGTTATGATACTCATAACAAGTTGTCTATCAATCTCTTTGATCTGAAATTCAACAGCATCTTTGTTAGTTTCATTAACATCTTAGTGATCACTTTTAGAATTAAGCATTAGTTATAAGCTAGCTAACCTGGATGTTATGTAAAAATGCTGGATAATCCTCATAAATTAGCATATATCGAGATTTTTATCTTTTCTGAATTCCATCCTTGTTCATAAGATTGTTTCGTATTGTCTGAGAAAATGATTTAAAAATTTTCAAGAAGATGTTTCAGAAATGTTATGCAAGAAAGAAGAGAAGGTTATGCATGCTATAGAGTTACATAAAAAGTAATCAACTTTGTTAATTATGAAAGAATTGACATTTTAATTAACATTTTCTTTTTAATTAACATTTTTTTTAATTAACATTTTTTTTTTTTAGATTACAGATAGCGACCATATATGATGCAATTACTTACGATGTTTATTCATTCCTAACTTTCAAAGAAACGATTTGTTCAAAAATATTTTTTCTTTAATAAACAAAAATGAGTTTACAATAGAGCTTTATTTACACAGGAAAAGAAAAAAAAGATCGAAAGTATTGACTGACTATGAGTTAAATCTTCGAAGTTAAAACAAAAATATGCTCGAAGTCTTTTATTTAATGAATATTTTGATATTTGTCGTATGATAGCCGTATTATTTAATTCAAAATTTATCCATTACAATAAAATATGTTTAAAATGCTATGAGTAGTTTCATATTTCAAATCGATATTTTGGACACAAAAATGTATTAATCTCTCAGAAAAAAAAAAAATACATAAACATTTTTCAGATGTTGAAACACGTCTTACAGTAATACTAAGGTTTTTGTTAAATACACGAATATGAAACAATTAAATTCGACTGTTTTATTACTCAGTTTTGAAATAATTGAATATTCCAGCAAAAGCTTAAGATTAATTTGACTAAAAGTAAAATTTTCGAATGCCTTATATTTCCAGAATAATAAGAGAAAAAAATAACAGTAAAGGATGAAGCTCAGTGCTGTATCGGAAAGACTGTGAAATTATTGGGATAGATGAATGTACGTATTTGTGCGTAGAGATTAAGAGATGTAATTGTCATCGATGAGAAATGTCATGACGAATTGTAGAGTATTTGATGACACAATATTAAGTATAGTGGGAGTAGAAGATATGAAATTGCAATTAAAAAAGGGATGCTAATTGAAGAAATGATCATTTTCATTTCAGATCCGTGTTATTTCTTGGATAATGTTTGCCTTCAAATTCAATGGAATCGGATGGTTTAAGGGGAACCCTGAATGAGGGAAGTACGGTCGAGGGTTATACGGGGTTTATTTTTTGTTACCTTTTGCCCATGGCATCGTAGTTAGAAGAGTTCGGGAAATAGAAGAACGGTACGGGAAAATATGTTATATATGATAGATTTAGTCTTATGCTTAACAACGGTTGCTAAACATATATTATTCGTATTATTTCGAGATTTTCAGATGCTTGGAAGTTTATTTGATGCATTGGTAACCGTACAAAATGAGCTCGCAAACAGGTTCGCATTTATGTGCCGATTTTTTATCTTATTAAAAATTGGATCGTCATATGTCGTAAATAAAAAAAAAAAACGAATTGAATCAATTCTGAGTGGGATAGATTGGTTTGGATGGGATAACAAAACTGACTTCTTTTAATTTCTTCTCGATATTCCTTATTTGCACGAAAGAAGGCAAAGGTTTATATATTTCTGCAGTTGGTTTTTGTTGACGAAAATTCTTTTTCGTATTCTTTATTTCATCTATTTTTGCAGTGTGCAAAAACTACGAAGCACCACACCATCTGCTGTACAAAGGTTATTGCTGTTGATTAATTCAAGTTTTTAAATAACATGATTTAATATAAATTATTTGACGCTTACAATAAGTGTATTCATTATATAGCGCCTTCATTAGTTGCTGGTATTTTTCAGGAGCTCATCTGAAGCAATTGCATCTCTTTTGAAAACACAGGCTGGAAGCAACTTACTTTTGAAGTATGCCTTTTTTCTTGGAAATGATTTTGAGTTCAATAATTTCAAATGGATAGGTTTGGGAGACTTGATCGATGTATGATGAAGTCTTTAAGGCATACCCAAATACGTGCTAATTTAGGAATCACTGTTGTCAAGAATGGGAATTTTAAATAGAAAGCCAACAGTGTCATTTTTATATGTGCATATTTTACAAAATGTGTTTATTGATTAATATTTTCGCGGTTAATAAAAAGTTTCATTCATTTTCTTTTTATATTGGCCGATGTGACAGAACTATTCAGAAGTTATTGCAGATGAGAATGATTTGTGATGATTTCATAGTTTTTTTCTTTTTGTTTTTAGATATCAACTAAATATCGAAATGATAGAGCAAATGAATGATGAAAATATACGTTTGGCAAATTTGTGCAGTACTCGTATGGGACGAGCGCAACAGATGTGTAACGAACGTGCTGAAGTTATTTTAGCATGCTACAATCATTTACGTACGTTAAATCAGACAACAAAGGTTTGTTTAATAAACCAGCCTCAATAAATGATGCGCAGAATTCTCAAACAATGTTGTTCCTTAAATTCTAATGTGGACAAATGCGGGACATGATGATTGGGATGCTAATGACTGATGACAAATGACAAGTTGAAATGATAAATATGGGCATTGAATTCGAAGTGTTTCTTTCTTTTATCTTTTCCGTTGACCTCCTGTTTTTCGAACTCTCGAGAATGTAGTCTGTTGTTAGTTTTGTATTATGTGTTTGTAATTTTTATCAGATTTCTTTGCTTCATCTATTTGCTGCAGAATGTATACGACGAAACATTTTCTTTCTTTTTAAGGAGCTAATTGATTTGAATAACAAAATTAACAAATTGAATCGATTCTGTTTACAAACGGAACAAGCGATGACACATTTGGAGGGATTACTAATCATTGCTGATACTGAAGCAGATATCGCTTTCATGAAAAGTGATTTAAAAAAGGAGAAAGCAAAAATCAGTAGTTTTTTGAAGTCTTGCAATAACATTATGGATGTTGGTCATTCACCGTTGGCATTGAATCAGGGTTTGTTCATTTGTTTTCATTTGGTACTGTCGATTTTCCCAAACCTTCTAAAATATATTTTCAACCACTATTGCAATTACTTCGGCATCAACCTTTTTGCTAATGATATAATTATCGACCATATATATACAGACTAATAATGAATGCGAAATAAATTTTGCAAGGGAATTTGTTTGTATGTAGGAAAATGAATCTTTTGAATAAGTTTTGATTTCTTGAAGGACTACCCGATTGTTCGTCATAGAATTGAAACTTTTTCATTTGAACTGAATTGAATCGAGTTTATCCATTACTTCCAAGCATTAAAACTAAATTCAATTGATACGCAGGAAAAGTATTCTGTTTTGTCCATACATATGGCTTACCATCTTCTAGTTCGTTATTTATCGAATAATATTCAAAATATACTGATAATATTGGATCTGTGATTTATCGTTTTCATAATTTTTAATCATATTTCAGATGAATTGCGGTTACAGAGTCAATTTAATTTGGAAAAAGAACATTTGGAGGAAGTTGCATTAGAAGAATTTTTGAGTTATCATGAAAATGAAGATTAACTTTATCACTTCTTTCTTCAGGTACTCCATCGCTTACTGCGATTTTCCAATAGTAGTACTTGGTCAGTAAGCTTTTTCGACATGACACTTGGTGATAAAGGAAATATGTGTGTGTGTGTTTTTTTTCTTTTGTTGTGCTCTTTTTACTTGTGTGATAGCATTGTTATTCTTGTTGTTCAATGTAATTTCCAGCCAGTTCCATTTGTCTAGAAATCTTCGTTTATGCAATATTGGTATGCGGATTTGCAGATGTAGATTTGTTTGTGTTTAATGTATCACAGATACGAAATTCTTGGTAATTCTTATTCAGGTGTATAAGCCGAACAACGAAATTTAAAAATACCGACTCAAAACATTCGGTGAGCCCATATAGAAAGGCACAATAATGTGTTTCCACATTTTAGTCTTTCTTTTTTTGTTCAATTAGAAATGATTTCATTACTTCTTTTTCCCTGGAAAGTAATTCAGTCTGTCTGGTGTGCCATGCGAACAGTGTCATATAGTAACGATCTCTCAGTTTTAATTCTAATCTGACATTTACTTTGATTGTTTGAAAAAACTTGGCATTTTTTAGTTTTATAAATTTTGCTCATTCTTCCCAGAGTAATGTGACAATGTATTTGATCCACATCTAATAGTTTGTCTTTTAATCATTATTTAGAAAAGATTCCATCTTATGTTATCATTATTATTTGTCAATGTATGGTCCGGTTTTTTTTCAAGCCTGATGACTAGAAGATGTTTATCGGTATTCCATCTTGAGGTTTTTTATTGTTCATACGGAGATTTGACTTTGTTGTAGAAAATTCTACTAGATGATTTTAGGTTTGGTAGCTTGCTTATAAACTGCTTAAATATCAGTGCATATGCGTTGAAAGTATAAGATGTTCTTTGATATCTAGCCTAAGTTACTTGCGATTTAATTGCTGAAATTGTCACTCATTTACAGTTGCTTCTTTGGCCATTTGTACCTTCACCAAATCTCACTCTTCTCTTGTTAACTATGGAAGGTTTACATTAACTTGGGAACTTGTAATTCCTTTCATATAATGACTTTATGAATAATTTTAATTTTACTGTATATTTTATTTGCTTATAAATTACATTTATGGTAATTTTCGAAACAACAAAGAGTGCGAGTTTCAAGTTTTCGAGTTTCAAGGAGATAATAAATGGTTGTTAGAAATCACAATTTTGTGAGCAACTTTTCTAGCAAACATAGGAATGTATAATCATAAACCGTAAAACTGACAGACACTGTTTGGGAACCTGAATGT